CAACACAAGAACGATACCTGAGTCCCAAATGTAAGAACAAGAGTTAGTAAAAGTTACTTGTATGTGCCTGAAAAGCAGCAGCCTTGGGTTTTATGTGACAAACTGTTTCAGCAGCTCACTAATTTCTAGCCTGTGTGCTGCAGGGTAATCAGTGCAATTCCCAGGAAATCCATGAAGGTTTTAATGAGCCATGACATGTTGAGCGCACAGTCAGCGTGAGGCAGTGCAGTGAGAGGAAGCTTTTGGCAAAGGCTGATGCACATAGATCCTGGCTCCTGAGGAGCCAGCTGCTAATCCTGACACTTGCCCAGGGAACTCAAATATTGGGAACTCTGCACCACCTTGCTTCATCTCTTTCACTGTACAGGTGTTGTGTCCATAATCTACCTCTGATAAATAGATTTGCTAAATGAGTTTCCCCACACTGGCTGCTTTAGGATATTCTGTGTAGGTGTTTCTGCTAGAACACTCTTGTTCTTTGTTAAAAGACAGGGTAATCCCCAATTTTTCCAAGATTCAGTTTTTCCAAAAGTCACTGATCTTAAGGGTATATATCTCATTGTTTCCTGGGTGTGTGATTCAAAGCCTTCACTTAGCTAAAGTGATCATGACTTTTTGTATGTGCTTCTTCTTGTTTTGTAAGTAGCTTAAAATCTGAATCTATGCTTTTGAGATTTAGAGCTACATTTTTAGACTGAACTATCGAAAGATATTTAGGAAGTGAAGCTACATGCTGATGAACCAGGTCCATAGCAAGCTGACAGACTCATCCCAGTGACATAGATAAACAAAACTGGAGAGAGAGCTCAAGGAAATTATGCTCATTATGGATTTCAGCATCCTAAATAACTAAATACTTATATTTTAACATAATAAATAATAATAATGTAATACTTCCTTATTGGGAGCAACTTCATTTTAAATTTAGTGATCTACTGTTGTGAATGGCCATGCTCAAATTTTAAAGGACTTAGTTCATTTTAATCCATTCTAAAATGCAAGTATCATATTCTTACAAGGTCAAAGACATGAAAATTCAGTAAACTAAGTGAATCTAATTTCTTTTTCAGTCAATACCCACCTCTGCAAATCCAAATTGCAGCACTGGAACTCCAGAAGACAAACCAAAAGGGAATGGGAAATCAAGCAAAATTTATATCTGGAAGGATGTCTTTTATTAGGTCAACTAATGTAGCTAAAAAAAAGAAACAGACATACTTTTGTGTACACAAATACTGACATGCAGAGATGAAACTGGGTTTGATTTTTGTTAAGCACCAATGCTTGTATTAAAATGAAGAGATAAAAGGGACAGCTACTGGCAGATGGCCTGGATTTTTAAAATTCTTTTTGCTGAAGTGCTGCTAGTATCATGGGTGAACAGACTTCCCCACGGCACTCTTTGAATTGCCTGGATTCTTTTAACAGCCATTTCTATCAATTGGAAACTTGCTGAGTAGTAGCTAAAGATTTTGGGGAAGTGAGTGCTGGGGAATGATGTAGTGAGCGCTGTAGTGATGAAGGTAGCCCAGCAACATGATGTAGTGACTTTCAGGAGGTTCCTCCCTTCCTCCCCCCCTTAAACCACACACAATAACACATCCTAGGTGGTCGAGGAGACTTTGCCTAGAAGTACAAAGTGCCTGAATTGCACATGTGATTGCTACACAGGGATAAAAGCTGGAGTCGGGACAAGGGCAGATCCCACTGCTTCAGGATTTGTACTTTCTGAAAAGCCAATTTGGCTAGCAGCATAACAAGAGCCTAACAAGTGGATGGACATATGGGGAGGCAAAATAATTGTGCATTAGGAAGAGGGTGCAGATGTGAGCTGCAGTGAGGGCGTAGCTCCATATGGCACGGTGCTGGCCTTCAGTTGGTGCCTGAATGGCAGCACGCCGTGTGGCTCTGAGCCTGGGGAGCGGGGCCCCAGCCACACAGACCTGCACCCACGCACATCATCTGCCTCCACAGCACAATAAAGCAGCCACTGACAGCTGCTCTGCCTGGGATCGTCCTGGCATTGCTGCACCTTGCAGCTCTGACACCTTCCCTGGAACACTTCGTGTGTTCCATGCTTCTGGAAAAATATATATCATTGCCACTGCTGAAGTGGTGTGGTGGCTTCTTAATCCCTGTTAATCTGCTGTGCAGGAAGAGCAGATATAAGTGTCCAAAATATCTAATTTCTGTCCATGTTCCCAGGGTTTTAAGGCCTTTACATGCCTTTGGAGAGGAAATTACTTAATTCTTTCAAACAGAATATTAAAAATCCTGTGGTTAGCATGTTTATTTGAGAAACATCATGGATTTTTTTATAAACTATTCCCCAGAGGGATGTGTAGAATAACAGTGGCACTCTGTTGTTAGGAAACTGTGATGTGTGGAGGGCTTAACTCTTCAACCTAGAAATCCTTTGACAAAACACACTCGATAAGTCCAAACTATCTCTTATGATTTATTATCATTTGTCCTTCCCTTTCCCTTTTCAGCTGTTAATCCTGACACTGGCTTAGAGTTCGGCCTCATTTTATCAATGGCTGCTTGAAGTGCTCAGGAGGATTTGCTCCAGTATTCACCAGAAGTCTTTGATATATGAGATTGTAGGCTAACACTGATAATCTTTTGTGAGGAAGTGTCACAATACATACATCGATCATCCAAGCCTCTATCTGTCAGACTCCCCCAACTCAACCGTATTTTTCATGACACAATGCAGCGCATGGCCTTTAAATTACCCATCTGTCTGACAAATCAGTGAGTGTGGCAGAAACTGGCAGCAGTTTGACGTCGCCTATCACTTCAACTGAAGTGAAAGTAATGCAAACAGATTTATGGGATCCCCTTTGATTATAGACTATGAATATATTTGGAATTGATGTTTGTGAGAGAGACACAACAGAGGGGCAGAAAAGGCTTGTAGGCAAAAGCACTAGTATTGAGTTTGCAGCTTTGCATTTACTATGAGGGGATTGTTCTGTCCTAAATTTTTCTCTCCCCATATGGTGCATCTCATCTGAGCACCTCTGACCTTTTTTCTTTTTCTTTTCTTTCATCCTGAGTGATTATTTAGCTGCTGTAAATTCATAACTTCATACAAAGCTGAGTTTTCTTAAATGAACTTGATGTACAGCTGTTAAATATATCTGTTAACATTCACTGCATGTCAGTAAATACTGCTGAATTTCCAAGTGGCCTCTGAATACAGTGGAGCACAGCAGAAGACAAATAGCTGGCAAGGATGGCTGCTTGCTGCAATGCTGGTGAGGACTTGAGCTCAGTGATGGAGCAGAGCAAAGCATTGACTTCGTTTTTTTGATCCAATGGTTTATCTTTGCAGAAGTAACCAAGACCTTGGCTTTTGCCTTTTGCCTCCATGCACACTCTCTGGCCCCAGTATAGTATTGCCATGAGCCTGATTCATAACCAAAGTCTGGCGTAGCAAGCCTGGATTTTTAGGAAGAGATATTATCTTACTCATTGATGCTGTTGTTTAAGTGAAGTGGTGAATTGTGATGCTGAAAGCTGGGACAGAGAACTACTGAGTGTGTCTCATGTGCAGGCAACAACATGTCCATTCAAACACCTCCTGGCTGCAGCTGAACTCTGGAAGCCCAGAGCCATTCAGTCCTAGTCATGGTAGGGTGGTACCTTTTGGGTTTTAGTACATTTGTAAAACCATTTTCTGAGCTCTGGAGCTTACACAAGCTTCTTTTGAAGTGCTGCTTGCCTTTCCTCAGAAGCCATAGACTTATGTGATTTCTCTCTTTTTAAAGAAATAGTTTCCATGAACAAAGTTGCAGGCATTGGAAGTCACTCAACAAAACAGTTGTGGTTCTGCTGTATTGGCTTTTGCCTCGTTTCCTGAGGAAATTGTGATTTATGAGTTTGTCACAGAAACTCAGCCCATTCTCTAAACACCTTCAGAGTTTTTTCATGCCAGGCAGCACTGACCCAAGAGAATCTGTGACTGATGTGGGTTTTTGTATTCCTGCTGCCACAGCCATTGGTATCTGGGGAGGATTGATCTACAGCTGCTTTGAGATAAGTTTTCTATATTTGGAATCCTTCTCCTGAATTTGCTCAGGGAATGTTGTCATAACCTCAAGCTGAATTTATTCTTTTGATTCCAGTGTGCAACCTATCCGAGGTTGCCATGTAGCTTTTGCATTACCTAGGAGCCTCTGGCTGCTTCCCACAGGAGAGGCTAGGTGGTCTTTGGGGTCTGTCTCTCTCTTCCTGTCTGGAATTTGGTTAGTGGGAACCTCTGCAAAGCTTTATTTTGGCTAAAGGAAACTCATATATTTGCATTTAGCCCCTAGTTGACTAGGACCTCCTCAGTGCTTCCTTTTTTTTCAAATCCAATCTACTCTGTTTGAAAATTTCCACACACAGTGCTCCCATCAGGTCCTGTCTGCCTGCATCCATCCTGAAAACACTCACTGGAGAGCCCTCTGTACAAGTCCCACACCTTGCTGGTGTTTCTGAGGGGAGCCACATCCACACTGCAGCACATAAAACACACGTACTATCCCAGTGTAATTTTCAAAGCACAGACATCGGCCAGGCTAGGATCACTGTGAAAATGAGAGCTACAGATTGTGTCTGTGGCTGATGATGTTGCTCTGGTATAATCCTGTATGAGTTTTTTTCAAGCACAGCTTTGCAGTCAGGGATCCCACCAAGGCAAGCACAGCTTGAGTGGAGCTGTTGCTTTAGGCATGTTCTGCTCTAGTAGCAGAGCAGAGAGCACATGTGGGCACAGTCCCAATGTGGTCCCTTTGGTTTAAGCCAGTCCTAGGCTATTCTCTACAGGCAGTAGCTCTGAAAATCAAGGAAAGCATGAGCTGTAGTACAGCATGGTTTGAATATAATTTCTAGGACCCAGTCAGTGATACTGGATGAAATTTAGCCTGGCCCCTCTGCTTGTAGCACCTTTGACTAGCTGCTGATGAGTCAAAATACCTGCCTTTTAATAATGAACTTTTCTTCACCTCTAGGGAAGATGCATAAACTTCACCCGTGTGAAATCGGATGGAACCTCTGCCCCTTACAGGCCACCACCGAAGCTGCCAGTGCGTGACCACGCTGCCCTCAACAACGCTCCAAGGAGTCCTGCCTCTCCCGTGCCTCTGCAGCCTCCTTCCAGGCAGCCACCTCCTGGACCACCTCCATCCCGAGCCCCTCCTGGACCTCCTCCTTCACGCCCACCCCCTCAGCCCATGGCTTAGAGTGCAGCAAACCTGATCGACACAACATGTCTCTTTGCTGAACACAGCATATTTATTGAGTATTGGTTTACAGTTAAAGATATCAGAATTTGTTGCTGGTCAGCAAAAAGGAAAAAAAAAAAAGGGAAAAAAAGGAAAAAAAAATTACCAAGTGTCAATTTTAAAATTTTAATGTATGAATATATTTATACCACACGTGCTGAGTAAACATTCAGTGGAAAGATTCAGAGCTATGGGGTATAGAAACAAACCAAAATGATCATCTAGATACAGTAGTAGCTTTTGTGTGTATACATTTGAAGATCTATTTAGATATGACAGTTGTCTGACTTGGTATGTCAGATCATTCATTCATAACTTTAGCCGGTACTTGTGCATCCGTGGCTTTGATAGCTGCCACCTACAAGTTGGTTCAACATAGTTCATTGAGGAATTTGCTTTCTTTTCCCCAACAGTACTGCATCCAGATATTAATATGGATCAACAATTGCAAAGATAACTTTCTGCCTTTGGTTCTGCAGGTGGACTTTCCATGGAAGTTTTAAGAAGCCTCTAACAGTAATGAGGTAACATGAGACTATGTGCCAATGATCTAGCTCAATAATCTATCAGAGAAGAGGGATATTATTTTTTTCCCTGGAAAACTCAGTTTTGAGCCTGCCATCTCTGCATATGTTTAGATATGGTTGCATAGGATAACCACTGAAGGTGAGATACTCTATCTAGAAATCCAGACTTTGTACAAGACTTGGGTTCATATTTGTCCAGAGTTCAGAGGAACTTTGAGAAAAATATTTTGGCTTGGTGTTTAGTTTTCATTTACAGAAAGAGTAGTCCAAAACAAAGCAAACATACACAGAATTTGAGTGTAGATGCTGTAGTAAGCAAACAGAATATGTTATTTGTATCAGCAGCATTGAGAGACTGATTCTATTGCTATTTGATTGGATAAATTTCCTTTTGACCTTACTGCCAAGAATTCAGTCCTTTTGTGATTCAAACATAAATTCCTCTTTGAGCAGCTCTTTCTTGAGACAGTTCAGATCCCACTAATGTGTAACCCTGCAGCCTACCTGTGGCTGAGAAGCATGGTGTGAAGAGTGAGTGTGAGCTTTTATCCTTGTTTTATGTGCTTGGCTGCTCTCCCATGACCTCAATTCTGGTGTCATCAGAAGCAATGTGAGCGCCCACACAGAGATGGGAATTGATGACGTGGGACTGTGGGTCAGCCCATTGTTAGTGTTCACTGAGCAATACCTGAGTGGGTTGTGCCCAGAGCATTCCCTAGTGAATCAAAATAACACCTGAGCTTGCTTTTTCTCCACCACTACCTATTGTGTTGGAGAGGGAACTTATGCTGGTCTGCTTTGGCACTGGCTGCGTTTTTAGGATAGTTGTAGAAATAATGATATGTTGCATTATGACACAGCATATACCTATTTCTCCATCTATGTGTGGGCATGTAACACATCACAGTAGTCATTGGCACATAAGTCTAAGGTAAAACACTTACTGTATTGTGCAGTTGCTCCAGATCTAAGACCTCTTCATGCAGTTGTTACAGGCATATAAAGTTTTACTGGTATAAACAGAAATCAAACTTAATGTTTCCAGTGGAAGGTCCACTTGCAGAACACCACCAAGCTCTCATCATCAGTCTATGCTGATCACTGTGACATGCCGTGTGTATGCAGCTGAGGCTGTAAAACCTAACTCAGAAGAACCACAGAGCCTCTTTCTCCTCTTGCACTGCTCTGCTCTCTTGAGCTTAGCTCTTACCTCATGTATATTGGTGCAGGTAGTGGAATCATGGTCGTGAGTGCCAGCTGGCCTTGGAGCTGTTCCTAATTCAGGCTAGAGCCAGCAAGGCACTTCTGCATGTGTTAAAATGTCCTGCAGGTCAAGAGAAACTTCCTTATGCCCAAGTACTTTGCTGACCTGTGACTTCATTGTGATCAGAAAGGAGAATTGGGATGCATTCAACCCTATCCTCATTCTATTTAGACACTTGAATAGGGTCTGCATAATTTGGTTCATGAGAATGGATTTCTGTTTGGAGGGGAAAGAAGAGTGTGTGTGTATGTGTGTGTGTGTGTCTGTGCTTGTGTGTGGGAACTGTGTAGGGTTTTGTTTGGTTTCTCTTACTTTACAAAAATTGCTCGAGAGTTGCACTCCTATGAATAGAAAGGCCTTTTTCAGCCAGTGTGACACAGAGTCATCACCTATCTCTGTTTCTTTCAGCTGAAAGGTGAAACTAAAATAAGTCCTATTTTCCACTGCAGTTCTGGTGAAACTCTGTTTTCACCCCAATGAAAGGAACTGGATGACTGCAGTGAGAGGGCAGGGGAAAGGGTGAGGGTGTGCTTCACAAGCAGGGATCACTGGTGTGCATTATGCTGGTAATATGGAAACCCTGAAATAACCTTGCTGAGTCTAAGACCATTTGTAATGTGTATGTACAGTGAACTTAACACCTTCTCATGTTGGTTGTATAAAAATAATTAGCCGGCAAATGCTGACTAGAAATTGAAATGGCAGAGGAGAATAAAGCTGATTCCCATGCTAGGACATAACAGGGCATTAGAGCTTTAATGTGGGGTTGCTACAGACCCCTGCTCTGTAGATGCCAAGCCTCTTACCAGCAGGCAGCAGTGAGATTAAAGCAGTGGCTTGGTGGGTCAAGACTCAGGTTTAGCTAATGAAAAAAGCCTGGAGCCAGATTTTGTCTTGTCTTGCACCTGTACAGATCTTGGGAGGGGCGAGTAGAGTGAGTAGAGGTGGTGATTTGCCCTCATGTTACTGTTGGAATTTGACTTGCTACCAGTAACACTGGAGGTGTTGACTTAGGCAGGGCTTCTCACAGTCACACATCCAGCATGCCTGCTGTTTGCAGCTGAGGAGAATATTCTTCTTTGCTGAAATAGGCAGTCTTGCAAAGATAACACATACTAGCAATTCTGCAAAACCTGCAAGTGCAGCAGGAATAGGAACAGCTTAGGCTTTGCCAAATCCCAGAATGAATGGATTCATGTATGATAAAGCAGGAATCACCATGGATTTGAGAATTAGATTTGGCATAAATGGAGTTTTCTGCATTCACACTGTAAAAAAAGATTAGCATTTGGTGTATAACTTAGGTTATTGGCTGCAGCCTCTGTGACAGGAGCACTGCAGGTTTAGTTTGCTGGTAAAGCAGGAAGAGAAAGTGAACTTTTTTGCCTTAGAAGTGAATTTCTTTTGCAAAGGTGGGAGCAGTGAATATGCTGCACTGGCTACAGAAAGGCCTTTTAGTTGTATAGAAATGCACCCATTTGCAGTGATCTCAGGCACTGTAACAGCACAGTAGGAGAAACTAGTTGCTATTTTATTGTCTGTTGAGCTTGATCCTTACCTGGTATAAATCAAAATAGACCAGCTGAAATCAAGGCAGTAATATTGGCATCCATCAGCTGAGAAATGTCAGAAAATAAATGAAGGGACAAAATCCCTCTATTGGGCTTGTTGTTTCAATGTTTGCTTTGGCATTCTTGTGTATGTCAATTGTGATCACAGTAGTTACACTGCTAAGAAATGTTCTCATGTGGGATGGTTCCCATGTATTTTCCACTATATAGCATCATTTGACACTTTCAAAAAGTGAGTATCTAATGCTTCCCCAGATCCTAGAGGAAAGTGTGGATTCACTTGGTACAGATGTGAAATGACACAAGGTGCAAAGCAGCGGGGAGGAAAACTCTGTGTTTAAACCTGATACAGAACCACATTGATCAAAGCATATTTATGGCCATCTTTCAAGCTCAGTGCATGTGTTGCCATCTGTGGGGGTAGCCTGCAGAGCAGACGGTCCTAAATAGGGGGAAAAAAAAAAAAAAGAAAGGAAAAGAATCAGCTTCTCATGTGAAAGAGCAAGCATAACAATGAATGACATTATTTCATGAACTGTAGCAGTTCAAATGCATGTGCACCTGGTGCTCCTAATGCTTTTTAGTCCTGTTGGTCTTCAGACAACATGATCAGTAATATGCTTTCTCTCTTTAATCATTTACTATTTTTATTGTTGTTACTTTGGTTTTTTGTGGTTTGTTTGGGTTTTTTTTTTTAAAGAAACATTTCACTGAGAAAACAGCCCTACTTCTGTAAATATAGAGTTTAATTTGGAGGAGACAGCACACTTCTGGATGTTACTGCTGGACAGTTATTTATTAAAAGGGGCTCAAGGTGAATAAATAGAGGTGGCTCAGGATACATGCATGCAAGTGTGATAATGCAGTATAGTGTTTTCAGTTCTCTGTAATTTTGGGGCAAGGGGAATTTTCGGGTCATCCTACTTTTTTAGAAGTTTGTTACTGATATACCTTTGAATAATGCAATAGAGATTCCTAACATATAACAGTGCTTGAACAAATGTGTAGATTATGATAGATTTTTCATTTGGGAGATGAGGAGAAGAGTAGTGAGGGGGAAATGTTTTAGTTTTTAGGAGGAAAAATGTACTGTACTCAATTTTTAAATTTTTCATTTGTTTAGAAAGATGTAGTGTTTTCAGAAAAGGTGGGGATGTGGGCTGATCCACAGCTAGGGCATGGAAATGAGGGACAGCGGAAGCAGTAAGACTTTTGAGGGATAAAGAAGCTTTACATGGGGGTGTGGGTTTTTATTGGTACAGGTGGTAAAAATTTCTGTAACTGACATGCTGCTTCCATGTTATAATCATGTAATGTTATGCATTTTAGGCACGTGCTCCGTTTTTCTGAGAAAACCTTGCAAATGTAATGCCTGCATGCAAATGTGGGAGATGTAGCCAAAATCTTGTAATCCAACATAATGTAGTCTTGATGGCTTCAGAATCAACAATAAAAGTGCTTACTGGTTAAACACTACAAAGAATTTCATCGCAGGTCATTTTAAGAGGTGATAAGCTTCTCTCTGTCATCTTTCTAATCAGCTCAGCCACCTAATGGTCAGGAGAAGAATGTGGAGTTGGGCTGTCAGAATTACCACCCTCGAGTTGCTACTAATTGAATTAGTGACAGGAGTATTTTCTGTTCCTCAGTTTCATGTTTCTGAGAATTTTGATCTTTGTCTAATTCAAAGGTAAGCCATTGTGTTTGGAAACCGGGTAGAAATGCTGAGTAAATTGAACTGGAGTCAGGGCTCAGACATTTATTAATAAATAATAATCCCCCCCCCGAACTAGTTGCTGCTATCTTAAAGAGGAGTCATAGAACACATAGACATAAAGTAAAATCCATGCAAGATAAAATGCCAGAGCTCAAGACAAGGAGAAATTCCACGGGCAATCCTACAGCTCTGAAAACACGGGAGTCACCAGGCTTCAGACAGAACTACAGATTTTCAGTCCCTCCCTGCTTCTAATGTTTCCTGTGTATCTGTTCCAGCTCCATTGAGGACTGGGGTGGAGGGCTGGTGGACACAAGGCAGGCAAGAAGGTCAGCAGGGGTAGGCCACAAAAATCTCCCACCCAAGCAGGCTGCAATTATGGGTAATCAAGGCTGCTGCAAAGATGCTGAGCTGTGCTCTGCACTCAGTGTGCCCAGCAGGGCAGCCACAGCCCTGTGTGCTAGGGGAAAAGAAGCTGGTCTGTGCACACACATAATCTCCTGAGCACATGTGAGCCTCATCTGCAAAAAACAGTGAGCATCGAATTTTGGGGGTCTGGTAGCCACGTGAGCTCATTGCAGCAAAGCAGGTGGGAGCTGCATGGTGGCTGAGCCAGGCATGTGCTTCCCTCTGGGCAGCTCCAACTGGCTGTGCTGCTAATGGGAATTGAAATCCTCAGCCTGGAGCTGTGCTGTTCCCTCGTGGAGGCAGGGGCTGTGACAAAAAGCCTGGCTTCCCTCACTCTGCACCCCAAGCTGGCAAGACAATAGTCACCCAGTATGGTTTTGTGGTCTTCACTCTTTTGTCCTTCCATCTGCTTCTTACTCAAAAAGCAGGCTCGGGCTCTTGGAAGAGATCAGATAAACAGAAGTGGTCCTGCAGCCAAGGCTCTGGGCACTTTTATTCTGCATTAACAAAAACCCTACATTGACTGCAGCTGTGGCTGCTTGGGTTTATGCATGCCTGAGACAACAAAATTCAGATTTGACCAGAACTTTCCCAGAGACTGGGAATGTGCAGATCCAGGTCTTTGGTTATGGAATTGTCTATAAATAGCTTCTAGGGCTGATTTAGAATCTTTCATCAAATGTACTTCACAGTCTCAGGAGTGGCATTTATATGTTCACATACACCAACCTCTACCCTATCTGGCTGCATGGAAGTCAGCAACAAGAATTTTTTTGGCTTCAGCAGCCTGAGCCAGGAATGGAAAAAATGTTCTTTCTTCCTCTACTCTCGTTCCTTAAGAAACCACAGGCAGAGCATGTTGCCCGTGCTGGAAGTTGTCTGGTCTTTATTCTGTGAATGCGCTTTGCCCTTTGGGATAGGACTCATCTCAAGTTTCATCTATTTCTGTGACAAATTTCCCCTTTTTTTGCACATTGAAGGACCTTCCTTTTCACTGCATGGGAGGATGCACTGGAGTCTTCTGGCCAGGTATCATCACTCAGATTTCTGACTGCAGCTTGAACTGAGATGATGTATGGTATCTACAAGATCTAAAAAGAAAGTTTTCCTGCTGAAAGGTTTTGCCTGTGACAGAGATTGAGAAATGTTTCCTTGTAAGCTTTCAGCGATGCATGACTGCATGGGTCAATACTTCACTGAAGGTCCTTAGATAAACCCATCTGTGTCTCAGCCACTTCCTGTGACCCAGAACACCTCACACTGAAGAGTGTACACTTTTCTCTCTCATGGCAGAGGGGTATGGATTGAGAGCACGAGTTTTCCCAGTGAACACAGGCACACAGCTGTCAAGCCATAGTCATGTAATAAGCACCCATGTGTTTGCTACAGGTTACTAAATACAGCAACTCTTGCCTTACTGATCATGCTTTGTGCACTGTTAGGGTAAAATACTTAGTGCTCTCAAATGTTTTCTAGTATCTTTTTTTTTTCAGTACATAGAAAGATGTTTTGAGGTGGAAACAGGAGTCCCAAGATTCCCCTTCATCATCAAAGACATATTTGGCCAAGCAAAACCAAAGGAAAAATATGGCAAGCATATGTGGCAGCTCATTCTCTTCAAAAACACAGCTGTTACAGCTTTGTACCTCTCTTTCCCTTTGCATCAAGAATATCTTAGTTAAAAGTGAATGTGCCTAGGGGTAGAGGTTGGTTCTAGTTCAGTTTTTGGGGGTTTTTTATTTTTTTCTGGATTTCTGATGCACCTGTGTAAGGTGTGTTGGGAGCTCCAGTGATAAAGGGATTGCAACACATCAGTGAGGCTGTTGTTTCCAACTGGGAAATGCTGCAATGTCCTCAGCAGACAGTGCCTTAAGAAGGGAGTTCAAACCCCTTGGAAGCCATCCTCACAGTGGTAGACTTGGCTCTGTTACAGCTCACTAGGAAACTCCAGCTCCAGAATGCAAACAGCCTGTATCTGAGACACCAGGAGTGACAGCCAGTCTGCCAGGACAGTGAGACACTGCTGGGGTCTGTGCCTTCCCAAACTAGCAGGTATGGCCAAGGACTACTTGTGCCTTGAAGCACTTACTCTTCTCTAAGGAAAAAAGTGGGCAGGGAGAAACCATAACCCTGCAGGCTCTGGAATTTCCCAGCTCTCTATTTTTTCCAATACTAATCATTTGTATTGCTGAAGTAACTCACAAATGAAAATATGAAATAGCTCATTTCCCTCCTGGCCATAGACAGGAGCAAAGGAGCAGCTCTGCCTCTACCCAGGCCAACTGGACCCAGTATCACCCTGGGATGAGAAGGCAGGATGCTTCCCAGGTTGTCTCAGGAAGTGTCTCTGCCCTGGTCTCCTGGAAGTTCTGAGCCATGCACAGGGGTGGGTGTCTGCTCCCCATGGTCTGAGTTACAGCCTGCTGCTGCCAGCAGGGGCTCTCAGGGGTTGATGGAGCACCTGGGGATTCACAAACTCTGCACAGTTGTTTTTATGGGGTGGCCTTACCTTCCCTCCTGTGAGGCTAGTACAGGTCAATCAAGTTATGGCTGTTTCTCTGCCCTCCATTTGTGCCTCAGTTTCCCTTCCTGCAAGGCCAGAGCCCAGCTCTGGCTGTTGGAGCTCCACAACTCAGCCCTCCTGGCCAGGCAGTTTCAGCAATTGTAGCTATGGTGGCTGCTCTCAGACTTAGCAGCTGCCAAATTTCCTCTCTGGGTACCTTTGTAGCAACCCCTGGGGCAGGGCAAGAGGCTGGAGAAGCTCCTGGTCCTGGCCAAGCAAATGACTCATGCTTGGCATTCCAGTATTTTTGGCAGTTCAGGAGCAGCCCTAACTTAGCAGGAAATAAGTGTAAAACCAGCCTGCCAGTGTGTTTGCAGCCAAGAAAAGTGCATGAATCCTCAGCCATGGCCCCGGGACAGGGAAGCAACACTTCATGTCTCTGCCTTTGTTTTCTTTTGGCAAGATTTGAAGATGCCTTTTCTACATCCACCAAGAGAGATCTGGATACCCATTGCAGTGTTACCTGTGTGACTGGCACAAGCACACTGGCTTGAGTGGTGTCACTGCAATTCTGCAGCAGTGGGAAGGGAACCAAAATCAACCAAAACGCCATGGATGTTGCTCAGCTCTGACATAAATAATTGGGAGACTGCAAACAGTAAAGGGTATGTTGCTGCCTTGCTACAAACAGCTGGGCTTAGACACACCCCCTGATGTAAGAAAGTTTTCTTTTTTTCTTCTCTCTTAGCGTAGCTCCGTGTGAGTCTACCTCCAGCACAGAGTCATTTCGAACAGCAGGACTGTGTTTAATTGTTTACAAACA